TTTTTTTTTTTTTTTTAAATGTAGCTACCGAAAAGAATGAAGTTGATTATCTGTTCTGGTAACAAAGGTGTCCAGGATATATTGTGAAGTAAAAATAAACCAAAAAACAGGTTTTAAAGCAGAAATGTATGGGTGGTCACATGTAAGTTTAAGAAAAAAAATGTTTGTTCAAACTTAATGGAGAAAAGGCCAACATTTATCGAATACTTCTTTTCTAGGCAATACTTTAAGTGTTTAACATATATTAACTTACTTAACTCTCAAACCCACCAGCCACTCCTCAGAAGGCTGGGCAATCTACTTCTGCAGTGATACCAGCCCAGAAACCCAAGGAGGGGTCGCTATGAGTTGGATCTGCCTCGACGACCATGAGCTAACTCTCAAAACAACCCTATGAAATAGGCAGGATTAATATTACCACTTTACAGATGAAGAAATAGGTACAGAGAGGTTAAGTTCTTAGCCAAAGTTGTTAGCAATTAGCAGAGCCAAAATTTGTTCCTTAGCAGACTGGCTCCAAAGACCAGAAAGAGAAAATTACGGTTGTTAATGGTGGTTGTCTCTTATGAGATAGGATTAGATGGGACTTGTTTTGGTTACCTAGTGCCACTCTGACAGAAAATATCACAAATAGAAGGACTCGAACAAAAAGGAGTTTATTCTTACAGTTTCGGAGGCTAGAAGTCTGAGTTCCAAGTGCCAGGTTCTAGGTGCTAGGTGAAAGCCCCTCGACCTTGGGCTTCAGCTCTGCCTCCTGCTCCCAGCCCACCGAAGCTGGAGGCTTTTCTTCACTCAGGCAGCTGCTGGCTGCTGAGCTTGACAAACCCCAGATTGACAAGTAAAAAGGCACAGTCCCGATATTACCAAACATGGCAGGCCACTAATTCAAGTCCAGAAAAAGTCCTAAGATTGGAAGGGCATGGCAGGCTGCTGAACGACTTGGCTACATGCAGGGTTCAAGCATGCCATAGGCTTGAGACCTTCCTCAAAGGTGCTTCTTCTACATTGGAAGCAGACCACATCCCTAAAGCAACTACTCAGCTGCTCCAGTAGATTCCACCATGGAATTAATTACCAATATTACCATGGAGAATAACTACATCCAGCTGCCCAAGCACTCAAACAGGCCCAGCCAAGTTGACACGCGACCTTAACTACCACAGCCCTTGGCTTTGTTATTTATCTCTATAAGGTTTGACTTATAAACACGGAACAAATGTTACTTTTTTGGCATAGAGAAAACAAAGATAAAAAGAACAAATAAAGACCTGCTGTCCTGCTCTGTGGCTGGGCCTGGAGTACAGAAAGCGGTTTCAGTCACAGCTAGTATGGTGTCTGTTGCAGCACTTTCTTTTGCCTGAAAAAGTTCTCATTATAAAATATGGCTCAGGAGGAGTTCCCAGGGATTCAAACAAAAGTTTGGGCATCAGAGACTCTTACAAAGTTAAAGCTTTATAGACTGCTCCAAGTTTTAGGGGAAAAAACACAGTAATTTCCACAGTTGGATGGAGGCAGGGCCTTCACTGTTCCTGGTCCATTCAGCTGGGGCTGTCGCAGAGGGGTGGGGGCTACACACCATATAAGCGTTTCTAGTAAAAGTCAAGGCTACGGGCAGAGCCTGTCCCAGATACCACACTCACCTGAAAGTGAGCCCAAGCCTGTGTTCCAGACCTCGGGTGACTTGTGTTGCTAAGACAATGACCAAAGATGAGGCGAAGGCAAGCCCGTTCCGGACCCCCTTCTTCTGACTTTAATGGGAACCTGACTACCAGGCACTCAGCTACTGTCACTCCAGTAGGACGGTGATGTGACTGTTAGAAAAAAAAAAAGAGTTTCTCTCCTGATAAAAGTAATGTGTGTGATAAAATAAAAGGTGTGATCGTTTGCTACATTTCCTTCTAGTCTTTGAAAAAAAGCATAAATATTTTATATAAAATTTATATATATAGATACATAGTTCAAAATTTGGACCATGCTATACATAGAGTTTTGTCTCTTTTTCCTACTTCACATTATATTGTAAACATTTTCCCTGGTATAAAATATCCTCTGAAAGATCATTTTAGTGGCAGCACAACACCTCATCATATGGATGTGCTTTTAAGCCATGTACCTAAGGCTCTCCTTTGAGAGGCAGCAAAGCAGTTTCATATGAGGTTTGGCTTAGTGCCTCAGGCATTTGACTGCTAACCAGAAGTCTGCTGGTTCAAATCCACCAGATACTCCTCGGAAGGCAGACTGGGCGATCTACTTCCGTAGTGATACTGCTCCAAAACCCAGAGGGTCACTATGAGTCAGATCCCACTCTATGGCAGTGAGTTTTTTTTTCCCATATTAATTGCAAGAAAGACTGCAGGCCACCACTAGGGGTCAGTGTAGAGCCATCTCCATAGGAGCCCAACTAGGCAGTACTGGCAAACATGCTTTGATGTAAGAAAATTGATTAACATGACAATCCATGTTAACAAATCCAATCTAGTAGATGAAACCAGATGACCTCGAATTGATTCTGAGTCATGACTGAGTAGAACTGTGCTCCACAGGGTTTTCAAAGGTGACCTTTTCAAAGCAGATCGACAGGCCTGTCTTCCGAGGCACCCCTGGGTGGATGCAAAGATGCGAACCTCCACCCTGTCAGTCAGTGGCTGGACCTGTTAGCTGCACCACAGAGGGGACTAGTCACACAAGCAACCAAGTTCAAATCACAGCCCAGGTCAAACTATCCCATTTCTCTACATGTAACACCTCCAAAAGAGCTATTTCATAAATTGGAGTTTATCAGTATACGATGCGGGATTTGACCTGTTCTCACCCGCTTGGAAAGAAATCATTTGCAGAAAACACCTGGCCTGCCTGTTTGATAAGTCTGTTGGTGAAAATCAAGTAAGATAACATAGGAAGGTCTCTTAAAAATTATGAAGCAGCACAGGAGCTTGAAGCTGGCCTGTGTTTATGATATGCTATTGCTGGAGTCCACAGGCAGTTTTTAATTGGGATACTTGGATGAGTCATCAGTACACAATACCAGAGATCACAGGAAGTACTATGATTATGAAACGAGGTACAGGATAGAGGGCATGACTGTGAATTATTTCACTGGTTTTGCTTTCCTGGAATTAGTCATGCTTTTCTCAGAGCCAAAGTTATCATTTACAACCAATTTGTTTTTGTTTTTTTTCCATTCTCACTTACCTGACGCTCCTTCAGGAAAATGACCCTGACCTTAGAAATGGCTCAACAACTTATTAGTAGGTGAATAACAGGGAGCAAAACACCACGGAGGCTTCCAGCCTGGCGTGGCAGTTGGGCTCCAGCATAGCTGCTTAGTGTTTCTGGCCTCTCTGAAGCCAGAAGTCACCAAAGGCCCTATTTCCCTCCTGACCAGGCTTCTGACTCAGCCTCGCACCCTCCCTCTGTTCTCGTTTCCAGTGCCCACCATCTGGCATCAGGGCTGAAAAGGAGCTAGGGGAGGGCATTCTGGGGTCCAAGGCTCATTCAAGCGCAGCCCAAGAACAGTCCAGTCTGCAGACAGGCCCACTCTGACCAATCTCAGAACACACAGGGGCCCCAGCAAAGCAATACCTGGGGAGCCCCTCATCACTGGCACTTGACTTCCTACTGGGCTGGAGCATAAAGCTCTCAGCGAAGGACACAGTGGCCACAAAGAAAACAGGGATGTTCACGGTGCCCTGTGACAGCCCCCGTGAAGAGCATTGTGGGTTCTTTCCGTCCCCCGAGGCCCTATGTCTTCAGGCAGGAGCTAAGACGGGGCACCAGTTGCACAGCTTGCGCTCTAGGTAACTATAGCTCCTGGGACGTGTACGCAGTCGCAGTCACACTGCCATCGAGCCAATTCCGACTCATAGCAACCCCCACTGGGTTTCCAATGCAGTAAATCGTCATGGAAATACACTGCCCCATCTGCCTTCCGTGGAGCAGCTGGTGGGTTTGACCCACCAACCTTCTGGTCAGCAGTCAAATGCCTTAGGCACTGCATCACCAGAGCTCCTTGGACTTGTACATGTTGTTATTGTTGTTATGTGCCGTCGAGTTGCACCCGACTCATAGCGACCCCTCCTTGGGTTGCCAAGGCAGTATCACTATGGAAGTACATTGCCCACCTTCCTCCCGGGACTTGTACATAGCAGGTGCTTAATAAATATTATCGCATGAATGAATGGCAGGGTTAGGCCACTTAAGCAGCACTAACCCATAGAAAGCCCGAGGAGAGCTACATTTCTATGGCCAATCAAAAATGTCAGCAGTCCAGGACTGGACAAAGCCTTTAAACTCGAAAAGAAGTCAAGAAGGTCCCAACAGCTGGACACAAACCCAGAAGAACCCGAGAGCCATACAACAGCAATGCGGCAACCAAGACCAATCACTGTTAGTTACTCTTTAAGAGCAGTTTCTAGTACATGGGCCCTCAGGGCACCCAGTCTCATCCCTGCCAAGGTCTACTCCCTGCCATCAGAGCCTGACCAGCTGGCCCAACCTCCCTCCCTGGGCAGGGAGGCTCCTCCAGGAGGGCTGAGTCACCAGCCGATCTGAGGCCCCACGGAGGGGTGGCGAGCCCTTTGGCCCAAGATCCTGACCTCAAGCCTCCTAAGCTGCTGAGTCTCTGAGGCCTCTGCAGAAGCCCGTGCTCCTGAGTGGGCCGCCGCTTGCCTAGGAAGACGCTTGGGGCATGTGCAGCCACGTTACTCAATGTTGTCGTAGACCTGGATCACGTCCTCGTGCCTGCTGAGAGCCTGGATGAGATGGGCGGCCTGCTCCAGGTCGGGGTCAGCCAGCTGCACCTTGGTGTTGGGGATGAACTCAAGTGTACAGGACACAGAGCACAAGCCCAGAGCGTCCAGCGTCTTCCTCACTTGATGCAGTGAAGAGGTATCACAGATAAACTGGGGATAAAGGGAAATCAGGAGGTGAGGAGCCAGGAGGAGACAAGACAAAGGCCGAATGGAGCAGATCACTGGGATTTAAGCTCTTCACTGGCAGGACACAGGTTTCTGTTTTCTGAACTCTTCTCACTGTCCTCAGTAGAGCAGGCCTTATCCAGAGTTTGTTTAACGTCTACACAGCGTGTGAGCTCTTTGTCTCACCCATCCCCGGGGTGCAGGAAGAAAGAAAGAAACCGAGAGCATGTCTTCCGGTGTCTAGTAAGGCCCTCCTGGGAGCCTGCCAAACACAAAGGCTTTGTACTCACTTTAAAAATGTTCTTTTCCTCTTCGTCTTCAGTCTCCATCACATCCTCCGCTCCTGCTTCAATTGCCAGCTCCAGGGCACGCTCCAGGGTCACAGCCTTCTTCGCCCTGTCCTCCATGCCAACCACAACCACCCCCTTTTTGTCAAAGGAGTGACGAGCGCCTTCAGCGATCATTCCTCTACAAGGAAGGAAAGGGGTTTTTAGACACTCCTCCACCAAGCACAGCTCTCTCACCCGGTCCCTGTCCACTCAGCCTCGGAAGGACACCCACCAGATAGGGAGCCGCTCTCTTCCTGGAGAAGATGAAGTCATTCCTGGCCAAGAGGCTCGCCCAAGAATATCCCCATCCTCTGCTTTCTACCCTGATGAGAGGCTGGAGGCTGCAAAGACTTTGCTCATGATTTCTCTGTGCTATTAAGACTCTAATCCTGGTGGTATATTTTAAGACTTGGACATGAATTGGGAGCTCTGGTGGCATAGTGCCTGGGGCATTTGACTGCTATCCAGAAGGCTGGTGGCTCAAACCCACCAGCCACTCAGAAGGAAGACTACGCAATCTACTTCCGTAGACATACTGACTCGGAAACCCAAGGAGGGGTCGTAAGGAGTTGGGATCAACTCAAGGCTACAGACGGGATAATAGGACAAAGATCCCCTTCCACATCTGATGAACAAGTCTTCTGATCCTGCCTCGTACAAAACCCATGAAGAGGAATTAAATTACACCACTGGGGTGCTGCTAAAGATTGTTATTGTTGTTGTTGTTGTTGTTGTTGTTGTTATGTGCTGCCGAGTCGGACCCGACTCATAGCGACCCTTCCTTGGGTTTCCGAGGCGATATCACTATGGAAGTAGATTGCCCAACCTTCCTTCTGAGGAGTGGCTGGTGGGTTTGAACCGCCAGCCTTCTGGTTAGCAGTCAGGTGCCTTAGGCGCTATGCTACCAGAGCTCCCTGCTAAAGATGAAGTGTGCTTAAAATCTGAAAGACTATCAGGGAGCAACTGTACTTTCTTTGCACAGATCTGGACCCAGAGGCCCCATCTCCTTGCACCTCCCCTACACATACCTACCCATTCTTGTTCAGAATATGTTTGATGTCCGAGCGGCACTTGGAGCCGCTGTTAGATAATGCTTCAATGAGCAGAGAAGAGCCACCAGGGCCTCGACCCTCATACAGCAAATAAATGTCCTTGGCTTTCTGCAATAAACAACACAAGCACACTTTCCCATTGCCCGATTCCCTCCTACAGGCCAGCCCAGAACCACAGGCACCACAGAGCTCCTCCCTCCATGGGCTCTCTGGTTGGGCTAGTGCCTGGGCTCTCAAGTCTCTGTTTTTATCCCTATCCCCTGAGAGGAGGCCCGTGGGAGCAACTTTTGAGGTCATTGCAAGTACAGCTCCTTACTTAGAAGTGAATCTATTTCCCTTGTTCCTGAACAACCCAACGAGGCTCCCAGCTTTGCTTTCAACCCTACCCAGCCAAATCGCAAATCTACTCTCCAGTTGCCCTCACCAAGACTCTCCCTTCCACAGCTCCTCCTGCAGAAAACCGACCTGTGAAGCCTCAGCTCTACCGCCCTCTGTTCCTCTACCTGCTTCACTCCTAATCCTGGGCTGCTGAGTACTGCTGTGGGGAAAATCACACACCCGGGCCTTATCCTAAGTGCTGCTAAAAACAGCATGGTCTCAAATGCAAATTACCGATCAAAAACACTAGTGACCGATCTCATCCGGACGCGCCATGCCTTCTCTTCGTTCCTGTCCATGGATCTGCATCTTCACCACTCTCTCCAAGCACCCTGCCCTGCTGTCTTCCCAGGAACTCTCAACTGACGTCTACTTCCTCTTTCACAAAGGAAATAAAGGGCCACCAGGCAGGGGACAATCCTGTTTGTCTCCACCACCTTATTTGCACCTGGTTAGAGCGCAGGCTCTGGAGTCTGCCTGGTTTCAAGTCTGTCATTTTCAGTGTGACCCTGGACAAGTCACTTAACCTTTCTGTGCCTCAGTTTCCACTCAAAATTCCTTTGCTGATTCAGTAAGATAATGCACGTGGACTTCTTATAAACGTGCTTGGCCCAGTGTAAGCACTCAGTCACCATGTGCTATTAAGATAATTATTTTCTCAGATTCTTCCCACTTGTCTAAGAAAAAGGGGTGTCCTTTCACCTAGGTTCAAAGACAATTCCCACACTTTGTCCCTCCTACCATCAGTATTGCCTGCACCTTTTCTCCTGGCTTTTCTCCTTTAAGGAGCTCTGGTGGCACAGTGGTTAAGCTTTTAACTGCTAACCAAAAGGTCTGTGATTTGAACCCATCAGCCGCTCTGCGCTCTGTGGGAGAAAGATGAGGCAGTCTTCTTCCGTAAAGATTTACAGCCTTGGAAACCCTATCGGGCAGTTCTACTCTGTCCTATAGGATCGCTATGAGTCAGAATTGACTCGATGGCAGTGGGTTAGGTTTTTCTGGTTTCTGCCTCTGGGCATACACATCTGAAAAAGCAAAACAAACCGTTTCTCAATCTAGGGTCAGGGCTTTCCCCACACTGGGCCCTTTCCTTCTACCCTGTCCCCTCACAAATGAGCAAAGTAGTCCTAGCTTACGGCCCTGGAAACTGTCTATCCATCCCGACTGTGCTCCTGCAACCAACGGCCAAGGCCACAGGCCGCAGAACCTCTGGATGAGGGTGTCAACCTCATTGCTACCTTTGTCTCTGATAATTTAAGGAGTGTTTGGCAGCTGTCCAGACACGGACCCAGGGGGGGCTATGATCGTTAATAAGAATGTCAACCTGAGGACACACCTCCATTTTCAGCGCTGCCTCAATCGTTGACTTGGGCATGTGCTTGCTGCGACACACCTCTAAGATGCTGGCCAGGTTGCTGTTGAGCTCGGGGTTGGGACCTCCCTCTGAGATAGAGAGAAAAGACTGGCTGAAAAGATCTCATTACAGCATGGAAGACAAAAGGGATTTCCACTCACCGTCCCTAACACCCCATCCCCCTCCAAGGAGCACTGGGGGCACAATACTTAAGCACTTGGCTGCTGGCTGAAAGGTTGGCAGTTCAAATCCACCAGCCACTCTGAGGGAGATAAGGCAATCTGCTTCTGTAAAGATTACAGAAACCCTGCAGGGCAGTTCTGCTCTGTCCTAAAGGGTTGCTATCAGTCAAGACTGACTCGATGGCAATGGGTTTGGTTTGGGTTTTTCGTTTTCCCTAAACCCCTCAGTCAAGAGAGTGGCAGGTCACCACACCATTTCTCTCTGTTAGTTTAGAACAAGGTATCCAGTGTTTCAGTAGGCCAGAATTTTGGAAAAGAAGTTTCTAACTTACTTTGCTCTAGGTATCCATATCTTTCTGTTAGGTTGCAGCAAACACCACTTTGCTATCATAGGAACAGGGAAGGGATGTAGAAGGTACCAATGTCTCCTTCACTTCTTAATGCCCCCGGCTCTGACTCTACTACTTTGTATAAAATTATCAAAATGCTCACATGACATTCTAATCATGATCATCATCTCTGAGGTAGGGGCTGGATTGCCAGTGTCTAGAACGTAGTGAACACACAATAGTGTTGGTCAAACTCAGTAAGAATTTAAAGAAAAGAAAGCTAAGTGAAATACCAGGCATGAGTTTTAGGGGTAAGTTAACATGTAGTGAATGCTTATTATGTGCCAGAATCTACTGTAAGGTGGGCATTATCCCTGTCTTACAGATAAGAGCATTGAAACTCAGCAAGGTTAAGCCACTTTCTCAAGGCCATATCATTGGTGACAGAAACCAAGCCGTCCTCACTCCAAAGTCCATGCTTTTTTACAGGACTTTTTCTCCACCCCTACAGGTGTCTGACACTAAGTGCAGGGGAAAGGAAAAAAAAAAAAAAAAAAACACTTCTTTTTTTAGGGTGGCTACATAACTGAGAGGAGCTCTGGTAGCATACTGCCTTAACACTTGACTGCTAACCAGAAGGCTGGCGGTTCAAACCCACCAGCCACTCCTCGGAAGGAAGGTTGGGCAATCTACTTCTGTAGTGATACTGCCTCGGCAACCCAAGAAAGGGTCACTATGAGTCGGGTCCGACTTGGCGGCACATAACAACAACATAACTGAGAAAAGATATGGGAGCAAACTTATCCTCCAAGATATGTAACCCTATGGAAGCAAATCTAGCCAGGATCTAGACAAGCAATAGCTTTACTCAGTGGCTGCAGAGGGTTTGTTTTGCCCCTCAGGACAGGCACACATCTAACCTGACTCTCAGGGTATGTTTCCATGAAATATCTAGCCACAGACTACGATAAAGTCACAGTTACTGTCTCATCTTCCTAAGAGCAACTCCCTCTCTGAAAATTGGCAGAGGGGTTAGTCTGAAAAGGTGAATGGCAACAGCCAAGGTAGGTGGGTGTTTTGAAGGTTTATGAGGTAGGAAGCGATGGGCATTGGAAAAATTAAAAAAAAAAAGAATAATGGCTGGATAACCAGGCGAGGAGCTCTGGTAGTGCAGTGGTTAAAGTGCTAGGCTGCTAAAGGAAAGGTCAGTGGTTCGAATCCACCATCACCTCCTCAGAAGAAATAATGTGGCAATCTGCTTCTGTAAAAGCCTTGGAAATCTCACGGGGTAGTTCTAGTCTCTCCTATAGGGTCGCTATGAGTCAGAATCGCTTCCATGGGAAGGGGTTGGTTTGTTTGTTTTTTCTTTTTTGAACCAGGTGAGCCCTGGCCTCGATCTGAGAGGCAAGGCCTAGGGCACGGAGAGGGCAGCGGCTGGGAGTACCCACCTGAGGTGGGTGACCTTCTGGTCTCACCTTTAACCGCCAAGCGGATGCTCAGCGACAGCTTGCAGAAAATGCGACTCCTTTCGGTATCCTTGGGACCCTTGATATGCCGGACTTTGGACCACTTGTTGTGCCCGGCGAGGACCGCTGCTGTGAGGTGCAGCGTCCTGCCGGGAGAGGGGCAAACGCCCGGGGGCTTGGGCAGGGAGATCGCGGGACCGCGCGGAGAAACCGCCAGGCCGCTGGGGCCTCGCTCTCGCAAGCAGCGGACAGACACCCTGCCCAGGCTGGCGGCGGCCCAGACGGCCATCGGCTGCGACCTTGGGCTGAAACCTACAAATAACAGTGGCTAAGGTCAGTTCAGCTGTCCGCAAGCCCAGAGCCCACGGCCGCTTCGCCCTGTCACCGGAGACCCAAAGGCTCAGGTCTGCTTTGGACAGTTGGACCACGACTGACCTCGCACGGTTCCGGCTGCAGCCTTGGACGGGGGCCCTCGAAGGCGTAGCACACTTCCTCTTTCGAGTCCGTTGCACAAACTCGTCCCCAGAGCCGGCAAAGTCCGTTCCCCCTACCACACAGTACTTGTTATGTGCCATCGAGTTGGCCCGACTCATAGCGACCCCTCCTTGGGTTTCCGAGGCGGTATCGCTACAGAAGTAGGATTGCCCAACCTTCCTTACGGGGAGTGGCTGGTAGGTTTGAACCGCCAGCCTTCTGGTTAGCAATCAAGTGCCTTAGGCACTATGCTACCAGAGCTCTTAGTTACTTCCTATTTCTTGCGCAATACGCTGGCAGCGGGGCCACGATTCGGTGCTCTATCCCTCCTGGATGCCTGGGGGAGCCCCGGACGTTATTTCCCACAATGATCTAGCATGAGTTTATACTAGAACGCATATCTGATTTATGAAACAGATAGTGCTTCCAAATTGCTTCACAACTTTGAGCAGGTCCAGAATGATAAATGTTTGTTCTTGCAAAGGAATAGGTAGTTCAACGTCCTCGTTTTACATGGAAAGAAGCCGCCACCCAGAGATGTGATTTGTACCCCGTTTGCACAATCTTT